CAAAGCCAAAACTGGCCAAAATTGGCTAAAATTAAATAACACTATGTCTAAAAATAATGAACTCTTTGATTACATACCTGTATGTATTTGCCTTTTAACTGGATTATCATGAAGGTCTTTATCATTTTCATAGATTCTTTATGGCACATATAATTATCTGATTTAGTATGCCTGCTAAGGATTTTTAGCTGTATATTAGTGCATATAGGAGTTTACTGACATCAACAAGTACTAAATGGCCAAATTAGGCAAAACTTAGAGGATAAATTGTTAGACAGCACTGAAATTTTGTATACACTGATGAACTCCCTCCATATACAGTGGAGATATAAATCCACAGAATAAACGTACTTTTTTTTGTCTTGTCTGTGTCATATTCATTAATACATCTTGACTAAAACTCTTTATGTGTCCCAGAGGAGCTTCAAGTAATTACAGTAAAGACAGTTAACCTAATGCAAAAATATTTCTTTCTTCCTCCCTCCAAATCCAGAACTTGCAGTTATTTTCATATAATTGAACCTTGTACTTGCAGAAGATTCAGTAGGACTCACTGTAAGATTGCTCTGTGAGTCTTTTTGTTCTCTGTTCCTCATAAAATGCAGTGGTGTCACAGAGAGGACAGTGTGTCTTCAACGCTGTGCCACTCATAAGTTTAAAGATCATCAGGATTGTAGTGAGAGTTTTATCCTGTAGCAAAGGGAAGAATCCAGAAATACATCAATTTGTGCTACGCTTCTGGGCTTGAGAAAACTGTCCTCGTTACATGTTATGTCCATAAGATTTGTTTTAGAATATGTTTGAAGCGTCCTGAAAACATGCTCCTCTTTCTCTTAGTCTCCTCTATAGCCAGAGTCACAGCTATTAAGTATTAAATTGTGAATCTCTTACCCATAGAGAAGATCTCTGTGCTTTGTCTTGTTTCCTGTAGGAGTCAAGTGTTAGTGGACTGGCATTTTGCCATTACACAGGTGACATTGCCATGCAAGTATTCAGAGATAGGAATGAGAAGTTCATAAATCCTATCCTAAAGGAACTATAAGCTATTAGCTATTAGTTCTGTTAAAATATTTCAAAATCATTCCTATTTAAGGTATTATATGTTCCATATAATATCATGTTTCCAGTCCACTTACAAAAAACAACAGTTGATTAGTTAAAAGATTAGCATTTTTTGAAACTAGGATATGTTTGGGTTCTGCTGTTCTGGAGCTGCTGGAAGATGAGAAGCAAAAATTAAGGGCTACTAAGTTTGCTGCAGATGCCCTAAAATACCAGGGGTGAAATGAAATTCCTGTGTATGTTCTGGACTCGTGTATAGAAAAATGTCCCTGATGCCAGGCAACAGTATTTTCCATGTGAGTGTGTCATTCTTTACTGCTGTACCCTGTGCCAGCACTGCCAATTCAGTGTGGTACACAGGGGTGAAGTGTGTGCAAACTGCTGCCAAAGGAGGGGCAATGGCCTCAGCAACGTCCCCCTGTGCAAAGCACGCTGTGCTTGTGAAACGTTTTGTCCTGAGACAAACTTTCTGCATTCATCACAGTTCCCCTCACGAAGCAGTTAGCCGAGCTTATACTCACATTTTTCACTCATGCTGTATTTGATTTACATCAGCTGAAGGAAATGCTAACGTGCAACAGTGACTCTGGAATTTAAACAGCAACCCACAAGGGATCTCCATGCTGAAGGCCAGCTTCCAAATACGGGAGAAGAGAAGCAGCCGTAGTAGCCTGGGAAGCCATCCTCAGCACAGCAAGGGACAAAATAGTTGGGAGTACATGAGCTTTTTGGAATTTGTTCAGAAGGGTAACGGTGGTAATGCTTCAGTCTGAGTGAGGGAATGAAATACAAATACTGTGATAGCAGGAAGAAGCACTCTTGTGTGTTAACTGTCTAGGGCTGCCTGAACAACAGAAGTGCAGCTATTTTTTAGTTCTATTTTTCAGCAGGTAATAGTGCACTTACTCCAAATCCAAATGTGTATCCAGGCTCTACCAATGCTGATCTGTTGGGTTCACAGTTTTATCAGGAAGATTCATAAGAAGAACATTAATAAGAAGATTAGTGGGGCTCAGTGCCAGGTCTGTTTGAAATTCTGCCAGTACAGTTTTTCTCAACAGAACTAAATTCACCAATATTTAGACCTCATGTTCTGCAAATTCTTATTCAAAGGCTTAGGAAGAGCTTTTAATGTACACTTACTATAGGCCCAAGAAAGTAGAGGTTCAAAAGATTCTGCTAGCTGGTAGATTCACTTTTGTTTAGTTGTTGCAGATTTTTGAGGCTTCTGATTTCTATGAACAGCGGTAGCTGTGTGTCAGCCAGACACGTAGAGAAGCAGTGGCCTACAGGCCAAAGGAGTGTGGAGTCAAACCAGCAAGGGCAACTCTGACAGAGTAGAGGTGTATAAAGTGGTTCACTTTTGTAGTGAGCCACTGTTTAGAGAAATCTTTGTGAATGGTATCTTGTTGGCTACATTATAGACAAGGTTTAGGACCTTTCATTAGCATGAGGATAAAGCTGGCTTTTAGTAACAAACAAGGAAAATGAAGTCAATGTCTTATAAATTGAAATGCCATGAGAAAAGCCCATGGATGTTGGCTTTTTATGAAGGAAAACAATTTGTAGGCTACTTTCCCTACTCTTTGGGAAAGAACTATGAATTTTCTAGACTAGGTCAGGCAAGAATGGCTGTGAAAGAGTCAGGGTGCTTGTCCTGGGACACTGTTAAGGTGAAGGTGGGGGTAATAGATTCTATTTTTCTTTTCAAATTGCCTAAAGGAAGTATCCTGTGTTCTGTTAGCAAAAGAGACTTGATTGCACTGTGTCTTAAACTTCTTGAACCGACTCTGATGTCTGAACAACAACTGGATTTGAGTTTCTTTAAGGTGGTATGGTGGTATATATGAAAGTATATTATTTATATCTCATTAGGCAAAAGCATCAACACTTTTCAGGTTCTAGACACCTTCTTGTGTGCCTTCGTGCCTTTCCTCTACTACTACTGCCAAAATAAAGATATCACATGCAAGTTGTAGTGGGAAGGATTCCTAGATTTCCAGTCACAAGTCTCAAATTAGGAGTGTAATGTTAAAATTGAGTCATAGTGATTCAGCTACTGTGTGATCAGTGAAAGATTAGTAGGAGTGCTACTAAATTACACCATTAGCAACCTCTCTGGATAATCTGTTCCAGTGCACAGTCACCCTCACAGTGAAGAAATTTTTCCTCATGTTCAGGTGGAACTTCCTGTGCATCAGTTTCTGCCCATGGCCTCTTGTCCTATTGCTTGGCACCACAAAGAAGAACCTGGTCCATCCTCTTGGCACCCATCCCTTCAGATACTTGGATATGTCGATGAGGTCCCCTCTCAGTCATCTCTTCTCAAGGCTGAAAAAGGCTCAACTCCCTCAACCTGTCCTCGTAAGAGAGACACTTCAATCCCTTGGTCATCCTTGTCACCCTCCACTGGACCTCTCCAGGAGCTCCATGTCTCTCTTGTACTGGAGAGCCCAGATCTGGACACAGCACTGCAGATGTGGCCTCACTAGGGCTGAGTAGAGGAGCAGGGTCACCTCTCTCGACCTTCTAGCAATGCTCTTCTAATGCACACCAGGATACTGTTGGCCCTCTTGGCCACAAAGGCACTGCTGGCTCATGGACAGTTTGTACCAGGACCCCCAGGTCCTTCTCTGCAAAGTTACCTTCCAGCAGGTCAGATCCCAGCCTGTACTGGTGACAGTAATTATGGCACTCCATGAAATATTTTTCCTTACATCTCCTTCATGTAAGTTGGGAGTATGCTCATGGCAATTCTCTTCCGAAAAACCAAGGGTGGAAACAACTTCCCATGGCTTCCTGCAAGCCTATTTTCAATCTAAATATCTTTAACTAACATAGCCTAAAAACGCCATGTGTCTTTAATTAGGTTTGCATTTCTCTTGGAGACTGGGAGCAAGGGCAGAGAGAACATAATGCAATAGAAACCCTGGGAAAATTAGATCTGAAAATGAGATAAAGAAAACAGATTCTGAACAAAGGACTGAGACAGGGAGAAAATTTATTTTGGGAACATCACCTAAGCATTCTACTGACTACTTTGTGTATCTGAGAGATTTCAAGAAAGGAAGAGATTTTATTTAGTCCATAAAATGACAGTGACCATAGACTTCCTTTTAGCAAAAGAAACATGCCTTCTAGATTTTAATTTCAAATTACTATTACAGGAGATGAAAAATGTGGGTTTAAACTGAAGCAAAACATTTTAAGAAATTACACACACACACACACACACACACACACACACACACTCACACACGTCTGAGTTTATACAGTTCATGTGTCCACAGCACAAAGCCCTTGGGATGTCAGCTTCCTTCTGCTGCTGTAGGAAACCAGTACTTCTATAACTTTCAGGAAGAGTTAAAAATAATATCACTAAATGTATTTCCAAATGTGAGTATCAGCAGGGAAGGTCGTTTGCTGCACTAGCTGTTGTCAGGAAGGCTCTGTACAGACATTGTGTTTCTGAGGTCTAGTTGTGGCTCTCGATGGTTACAAGTGTATCACTGTGGCAAAGTTGCTTTCCAAATGAGCAGCTGAGAAAATCCTGGGAATAACACAGTTACCTTCACTAAAGTACTTGGGATCAATGTTGGTTTAATATCTGAAGTAGAAAGAGAATCATGGTTCATGGATTTGCAAGGCTCAAACCCCAAAAGCAAGTACCTTTCAAGTGGCTGTGGAAAGAGCTCCAACGCTCTGGGGACCCCTTTGGTTGCATGGCAGATGTCCAGTGCCAAGCTGAGGTATGAATGTAAATTGCCACACATCTCGCAAATAGACCTGGCAGTGCAAGAGCAGATGGAATTGTGTGATGTCTTTCTTACACAGATTGTGAAAGAGAGGTTATTATGCCCAATGACACTGACCAACAGGGTAACACTACAGGTAATATGATCTTTGGATTTGTGGACTTGTGTTTAGGCTTTAAGAAAATTTATGTCCCATTCCACACTAGCAAACAAGTATCATTAGTCTTCTTCAAAACAAAAAACCAGATGAGTACAAAAAACCCCCATGAATATATTTTTAAGAAATAATAATATCACAGATACAAAATTCCCAAGCAGATATACTGGTTATAGTAGTGAGTGACCTGTGTCCTTTTTTCACAAAACCTTTAGTGCATGCAAGCAGATGAGCACAGAGGTGCTGTATGAGAGAGGGACCATGGCCTATGCACTGAAGCCCAGCAGGCCACACTGAATGGTGCAGCAATCTGCACCACTGCAGAGGGAAGGAGGAAATGTAAATTACTCCATCCTGACTGCTGCCATTCTGCTCTCTTCATCACCTACAAAATAGTAAGGAGTAGAGTAGCAACCCAGACCTGACCTTGGCTTATGTCTCTAAGAAAACATTAAGATAAGTAAAACTAAAAATGAAACCATACAAACAAACCAACAACCAAGAAAAAAGAACAACCAAACCCGACCCACAAACAAACAAAAAAGCAAAGTCTACCTAACCCATAAACAACCCAACGTGTTGAATGTGCATAGTTTAGCTTCTGCTCAGGGTCTCTCCAGTATAGGATTGTAGTTGCAAAAGCTGCATAAAGGCAAGAACTTGTAAGGTCCAGGAGCAGAACAAGAGGGAGTGTGGACATGCAGGGAGCAGAGGGAGAAATCACTAACAGATACAGGACCAGAAGAACAGCAGCTGACAGAGGCCAAGGGTTGAGGTGCCCTGTCACAGAAGAGCTATGTAAAGAATCTTGCCCAGCACCTGTCCATAGTGTCCCAGGCTTGGTTGTTCTGTAATAACATCTAAAGCTGCCAAAATATATTAGGGGAAAAAAAAAAAGAGGAAAAATGTAAAAAACAGAAAAACAAACGAAAAGAAGGAGAAGAAAAAATAGAACAAGAAAAGAGAAGAAAAAATAAAAAAAAAAGGATAAGAAAACGATGATAGTGATGGCATCCATTTGGAAAGAGTTATTTAGGAAAGGTTCAACTCTGTCACAGAGGAAGGAAAGAAATAGCCATTATGATAAAATAATTTGGGGTTTTTTTCTGATAACAAAATAATTTAAAAGTACATGTAAACATAAACTGAGTTATATTTAAAATGGTGATAACGGCCTGCAATCAGCTTTGAACCGCAACAAAACACGTTAAATACTCTTAAGTTAGGCTTACTTTCAGTACATTTGAATATATAGACACTGCAGAAGCATTCCAGGGAATTACCCATGCAGCTGATAATATTTGTAGAATGGAGAACTGTGCTTCTTTGCTCCACATCCAGCTTGTGGCTCTCCCACCTCATCCAAAATCAAAGGAGTTTTGTTTCTTTCTACTGTGCTGTTTCCCCTTCTGCTCTCTATAGACTGAATTTTGAGCAGGGCAATACATAGGAAACAAGGTGTCACTGCCCCCCTGGCCTACAAAATTAAACAGGTGGCAGCTGACACCTTAGAAATGTATTTTCTTACAGTTGCTGTGATCAGAATGTAGCTTTTACAGTGAGAAGAGGTAATTTGGCACTACTGCTAGTGCTACTGCAAATATTTCCATATGCATGGAATGCTCCAGACCTCCATGAAAATCTCCAGGATATTTCTCCTTTCTGATTTTTCATTCCCAGCTAACATCCTAGAGTGACACTAAGTTCAGACTTGTTAGTATTCCAGAAGCAGAGAAAGATACTTTTATTTGATATAAGAAATAGAAAGTACTTCCTATTTACATTTTCCTAGGAGCACAAATACTTAGAATTTTCACAGGAAGGTAGCTGTTGTCATAGAGATCAGACCACTGCCCTGTTCAAGTCCAATCAGATTGTGGCCAGTCCTGACACTTTCAGAAGAAGATGTAAGAAACCCTACTTAGAATTCTCACCTAAGGTTTTTTTCACCCCAGTAATGTGGCAGTGAATTTCTCCACACTTTTCTTGTAACCTGTAACTCATTTTGGGCATGAAATAGTGCTGGGTCAGAATTTAGTTGTATGGATTCCCCTACACATGAAAATCTCACTAGGGTGGGATTTTACAGGCCACATGATTCACATACTGGCAAAATGACATTCATAAGTATTCGGACTTACAAAACTGCTGAGCTCACAAAACTCCCATTGTAGTCTGCAAGAAGTACAGATATAACATAATTATTTGAGATTATCAACAGTAAATACCCCTATCTTTTTGCTGCCAAAAATTACTGTTTTAAAGTAACTGGAGGTATTGTTTAGCAGAATAGTAATATCAGTTTATCTGCTGGATGGTTGTGGATGATCTGTTTTCTCTGCATATAATGGTATTACTTATATCTACTGATGCTTTTTGCAAGTTCATTCAGCACTGTGTTTTTCAAAGGATGGGTTAGATATTAGCTAATGTGTAGTTCTCTCTTCTGAGGCTGGCATGGAGTAAGTCCTTATTTTAGAAAAGAAGGAACTGAGACTATCTGAAAATAAATAAACATTTTTTCATTCTTTAGTAGTGCCTGGAAGTTGCTAAATCATATTTTTAGACTTAGTCCGTGGCTGCCTCTTTTTGAGCTATTTGAGAGCACTGTTTCTATGTGCTTTTATTTTGTGTGATTTGACATGAACACAGTAATTACAGAATTGAGTGTTAACAGACTCAGAGGTGTTAAGAGGTGGTCTCAGAATTAGTTTCCCAGTTCAGTGCTATCATGGGTTTTAGCCAGTGATCTTGGATACAGCTCTGAATTATCACCAGAGTACACTGTTAGTTCTATTCTGCCAACTCTTGATGTTCAAAGCTAATTCTTTTAACTTCTCTAGCTCCAGTAATATACACAGCTGAGAGTCCATTCTCTTGAATTCTTAACTTTAGGAGTTAGATTTCAGATAGAGATGATGTGATACTACTTATGTCTTGGCAATCTCTTTTTCTCCGTGCTCCCATTCTTGAAATGTTTGGCATAGTTATAGCTTTCTTACATGGGGTGATTTATTTACTCTGTAAATTATACTATTGTAAGACTTCTGAATGTCTCTCAACTGTTTATAGGAATATTTGAACATGTGGGAGAATACTTAATGTAAGATACTAGTTGTACATACAAGCAAGACCAGAAAAAGGTGGAACTTATACACAAAGAAATATCTTTGCTGAAATCCTCATGTCACTGAATTAAGTAATAGAATGCACACCTATTTTAATAGAGCAAGGAAAAAAAATAGACCTGGAAAAAAAATCTCTTTTCCCTTTTTCCCTCTTTTATCATTACCAGAATTAATGCATCAAAATTATATTTTTAGATATGTGCACATTATTCCCAAACACATTCAGTCTAGATTTAAACACTCTTGAAAGTCCAGAGGTGTTCCTGGATATTTCAAAGGGAGCTGTAAAGCAGAGCAGGAGCTGCCCTAGGACTATGTACATAAACACTCTGAACATGACTTAACCTGTTTAAAACCAAATTCAACTTCTTGAAGCAAATAAATTTCTTGTGCTGTAGAAGTTCAAGGTGGCTCAGCCAATAGATGTGGTCAGCAGTGTCTGAGCACAATGAACAGTGATATGGTGGACATGGTGCACAGTGCCACTGGTTAGCAAACTTCACAGGGCTTGGTGTGTGTGAGGACCTTTGCAAAGATCCACAAAGGAACAAGTAATGTATAGGAAGTTGGGGAATATCCATTCAGTCATGAGTGTTGTTGATGAGTTTTAACATCTTCCAAAATGTCTTCCAGTCTGCAGAGCTTTCAGACACTCTGGGAGATGACAAGCAGCTCATATGGGCTTCTCAGACAGAATTTATATAGTCTGTGGTATTCCAGTGTGCTTTTTGATATTACTATTAAAAACTGCTATTAGCATTGTCTTGAGAGGTGAGCACATTGCCTTGGTTATCTTTAAATCCCTGAGAGGAAGTGCCTCAACTGCAGCTGAGCACAGTGCAGCCCATTTGTTAACAGTTTATAGAGTTGTCACAACATACAGAGGAGAGCTGTAAACTTTTCCTAGCAGATCATTTATGCCCTCTCTCCTAGTAATTCTAGGAATAGTCTACCCACGTCATGTGGTGGGACAATATTAATTTTCTATTTGCTGAAGAATTGGCCATACCAAGCAGCACACAGAAAACTAGCAGAAAGACAAATATTTCTTCTTGCAGTAGAAATTGCATATAGTTACCACAAAAAAGAAAGTAAGGTGGTGTAAACTGTTGTTATATTTGCGTGTTGTCATCTGCAAAGACAAAAAGACTTTGTCTTTATTTGGAAATTTGCAGACACTGAGGTAGAGGAAACTTCCCATTTTGTAAGAGAGACAGCCAACAGGTGCTTTTCTCAATCCTGGTGTAATCCTGGTGTAATCTCTGCTCACACGACTTTTTGTCCCTTTTTCTTGTGAGTTTACCTTGTGCAGGAACACCAGGAGCTGCCCCTGTGGTTTCCAGATGAGAGAGTGCCTTAGATTTTAAATGGTCTGCAGCGTTGCAGCGTGGGCTGTGACACAAAGTCAAGTTTTTAAGAGCAACACCCCAAGGTGTGAAACTCATTGTCAGCAAGACAGGGGTTCTCAGTTCAAAGTATATATATGAAGTAAAAATTTTTAAAAAGGAGTAAAAATTAATCCCTTGCATGAAAGCTAATTTAAAATCCCCTTTTAAAACTGATCACCTTTAATCTGTTCAGAAATACAGGAACAGTTCGTAACTCTCACTGAGAACTCAGTGACAGGCTCTCCTTAGTGGAAAAAACAGATTTGGGATCTTGTAGCATCAAATCCTAACTTTTCACCCCACCAAGTGATCTGTGAAAATACTTTCTGTAACCTAAAATAAGACAGGCAGGCTGGAAGTACAAAGCTGCTGTTTTTCTGTGGGAAACTGAATGCAGGTTCAGAGTTCCTTGAGTCAGACATCTTGCACTGTTTATTTGGAAAGACCTGAATTCCTGTTGTTTTGTCTATGTAAGTCATACAAGAAGAAAATTCTTCAGAATTTGGTAGCTACATGGAGAAGAATCCCTTTTCCTTGCTCTGTTTCACTCGGCTATCACTGGCTGTGTAACTGGCACATGCCCAAATGGACTGTCCTGTCCCTGAGGAAAGCCTTGGGGGAAGAGCTACTAGAGATATTAAAATTTTGGTTTGTTTCTGTTTTCCTTTATCTATTGACAAAAATATTATGCTTGTATCTCTCTTACACTAATCTATTAAAGAAGTTTCACCAGGGTTTGTTGTTGTGCTGACATGCTCTGCCCCTGTGAAAGAGTATATATACCAGTACTGAATTATTTCTGAGGTTTTACTTGCTAATTTTTTCCCTACAATGTTAAAGACTAGTTCAGGAAGCTATTCTGTCTTGACACCACTGTACATCAGTGGTTTCAGGTTGTTTCTTATTTTGGGGGAGAAAATAAAAGGTGGGAAAGTGGGACATCTGTCAAAATTCCTAGAAAAGTATGTCTTGGTTGGTACAGCACTGAGGGCCCTTGAAGGTCACTCAGCAGTTATACTGCTGGGTATCAAGCTGAGGAAATCTTGAGGAGGTCACACTGCTAGGAACTGTAGGAAACATGTATATGAGGAGTAGGGATGACCCCATGTATTGGTACAGTCTTCACTTAGTCATGGTGTAGCTTCCAAATTGTTAACAGTCAAAACTGCCCTCCACCTAGTTTTCTGTCCTCCTCACTGTATTGTGTACAGTTAAGCTACACTCTCTCTAGTGATTTCTTGATTCTTGCTGTTATACATTGCTAGGAAATTTTCTTGAGCTGCCACATCCTAAGATAAAAAATTATTCTTCCCACTCTCCAGCCCTACTGTATCCTTTCTGACAGGGAATATTTTATGTAAAAACCAAACCATTTTCAATTACTTTTCATAGCATGTCTCATAAATGGGTGGTTGTATACTGCTGTGGCTCTTTTCTGTATATGTACATTTAACTTACCTTCAGTTTTATGAGGGCAGGAGCAAGACCTCATCATGTGATCCTTATCTTGTACTGCACCTTTTTTCTGATTTTTGCAGAACAATGCTAGTGTACAGTTAGTGCACAGTTATCCAAAATATTGTAATTACTTTGTCTGTCATATCTCTCAATGATAATGGCAATCTCTGCATTAAACAGAATTGCTGTTGTTAGTATGTTTCCTGATATTTAAATGCATGATTTTATGACCCCAATAGCCAAATAAGGATTAAACTCAAAAAAGTTTGACTCAAGAAATTCTAGAATCTCATGACATAATGCTGAAAAAAAAAAAGTGAATGTTTTATATATATACATATACCTAATGTAAATTTAAAAATGTTATTTAATTCAATTTTAAAATTGTAAATCCATAAAAGCTTGATAAGACAGGCAAGAACTGGGAGCACAGTACAGGGACTTGTTTCAGTAATAAGCCATCTACTTAATTTGATATGATGATTTGGTGTCATGTTAGTTAGGGCAATAGGAGTATCCTGATATATGTCCATTCCCTCCCTGCCACATCTTGAAATCTTTCACAAAACTCTTGCACGTAACTTGAGAATAACCTGAGAGCAGGACTTGTAATGCAAGAACACACGAGTGAATCCCAGTGACCAGCAAGTGTGACTATCCCAGTGATCACTGTTATGATCTTGTGACCAGCACAGGGGAGAAGCTTGGCTTAAACATAGAAACTGATACAAACATTTTCTTACCTTCTAGAAAGCAGAGCCTGCTGCTCCCATTATGATGTCTTCCTTATTGTGACAGATGTCCTGAGATTACACAGAGAGCACAAACATTTATTTCGGGTAAAATAAAAACCTTAAGAGTCCAGATTTTTGTTGTCTCTTTCCAGCTCCACCTCTGATGTCTGTCTATTATCGGACATCCCAGCCTCCATGGCTGAAGCAGATGTAATCTTTACACAGCTCAGAGCAATGAGTCACATCTTGGTTCTGTCCCGTAAAGCACATAGAGTTCATCATGAAATACAGAGTTATTTCCAGACAGGGCCCCTCTCTGAAAAATGTTAACAGGTGGAAGCCCTAGTAGATAACTTAACGTCTGCTCTTCGAGAGAGGGTTATTTTTACCACCAGCCTGGGTTTGGTGAGTGCAAGTGTGCCATGCAATGATATACAGAAAGCATTTATAGCTGCAGTGGTCTGGACCTGTCCCTCCTCATTTTTAAAGCAGAAGAGGCAAACAGTCTGATAACGTGTAGGCGTTTGTGTATTCATAACACCTACATAAGGACATTATTTGCTTTCTAGGCACAGAATTAATTTGATCACTTAGGCAGAGAACTGGATTGGGAATAAAGCAGACTAAATACCAAGTTCCATAGGTGCTTTGATTAAAAGAATTGTACAGAAATATTTTGAATGAAAATGCAGCCTGTCTTTTTAGGGTTACTGGTGACAATAAGTTTACAGCCATGTGAACATGTCTAGAATTTCATATGCTTATATATAGGAAACCATCTAAGGAAAAAGGTATTTTTCTGCCTCCATCACTTTTTTGCTTGAGGAAAGATTATTAACTTGTAGCTTCTCAGAAAATTTTTTTTTCCTAGTGTCTAGCTTTGGATTTTTTACACTTGGAGAAGCATGCTTGCTCATGACACTGAGTAACTTTTGTGAAGAAAGTTGAGCTGGTAATTGGATGCAATAGTCTTGTCTGATGACTGCTTAGCTGAGGAAGAAGGAGACTTGACTGCTTGTGGAATTCTCGCTGTCTCAGCCCGAGTGGATGGGCAGTGACCTGCATCTGCCCCCGGCCTGGCAGCTCTGCTCATGACTCATCACAGGGACTTCAGTGCCTTTGACACCACTGTCTGCTGAAGTACGGGAGGCCCACCGGTGTCCCCTGTGTGTCTAGGATAGCAATGCCTTATAAAGCATGATGCATTCCTAATGTGTCCCTGAGAGAATGAAGTCCAGCTTTATCTGGGTCAAGTTCTGTGGAGGACTGTAGAAAAGAAAGCCCATGACAACAATGTAAAATGGTAAGTCACACTATGGTATAAACAGAGTTTAAGTTTAGGGATGAGGAATTCAGTGGTAAATCACATGAACTCTCCTTCCCACTTACTGAATACATTACGTGTTTTTAGAAAATTCTGCATTAGTAATACTATAAAAATCTGCTTTTATTGGATTATGGATTGTATTGTGTATCCACAATTAAAAAAGGGAGGTTGTGCTCCCCACATGCTTTTCTATCTGGGCCACTACTATCTCTTATTGTAAGAGAACTGCTCTGTATATTTTCCTTGCTTTGTCTTTTCTAAAACCTCCAGTATGCCAGAATGCCAAATAGAGTCATGTTTTTGATGAGTATCTTTTCTCTAGAAACTGGGCTGAGAGCCACAGACTTGCTTCCAGTGAACCACCAAAGCTTCTTTTAATTTGATGACCTAAGTTGCTGTTGAATTTGGATGAACTCAGACAAGTTTATATGTGAAAGTGTCTGTCTTTCATTGCTAATCCTTTGAGCTATTCAGTCCTCTTAAATCCTCTTTTTTTTTAGGCTTAAAAAGGTTACATCTCCATCCAGACACTTTCAATGTTCTGTTTTCAGGACTTAAAAACTCATTTCAAGGCTTTTCCTGTATTTAAGACAATACTGAAAACTGCAAAGAAATTTTTTAAGTAAAGATTTTTGCAACATCAGCCAGCAGACAGTAGTCTTTTTTTATTGAGGTATAAGTGTACTTAATTAACTAAAGTACATTGTTCACATATTTTAAAATCACCTTTTCTAGGAAAAGGCATGAAACATATTCAGGTTATATGTCTTGCTTAAAAAAATTCTTCATCAATAAAACATCACAAAATCTCCTTTCGAGAAAGAAGTCAGCAAATCATTTCATGATTTTCAAGGTGACATAACTAGAGGTTGGAATACAGGACAATAGCAATGAAATGGAATAATGTGCCTGAGTTCAGAATAGTCAATTCTTCATATAAATAGGCTTTGAGACAGAGATAGAAGAAAGTTTTGTGTCATGGACTCTTAGATGGTGAGTGCACTTTGACACTGCAGTGTTTTTCCAAACCTGGAGGGATCACTATTTCTAATACTATCACACTGGAGAGAAGTGAGAGTTTTCTGAATCAAGCTACTTCAAGCTATAAAATGTCTAAACTTCTCAAAAATTACTTCTCTCTTTACTTTTTTCTTTCTATTTTCAGTTCTTATTTAGTATTGGTTTGAAACCAAGACCTTTGATGATTTTAACAGCCAAAAAAAGTGTAAATAGAGAAAGTGTAAATATGGTTATCAAATCTGTGAAGTTCTACAGAGCTTCAGTGATACTTACTGTCTTCTGACAAAAGTGTCCCCCATCTTTGTCTTAGAGCTTGTGGAATCGAGATGGTGATCATTAACTCTGGTAAATTTTAAGAAAGATAGACAGTGACATAAAAGGGATTTTTTTTCTTTTTTTTTTCTTTTTTTTTGTTTTAGTTAAAATCAAGAACATTGCAGAACATATGTTTCCATTAAATTCTCAACAGCAGAAATCGCCATCTTTTACTGAACAAATTGCAACTTTCAACTTCTCATGGAAATTGCTCCTCTTTTAAGGTCACAAGGATTCAAATGTAATCAATCATCCTGGAAATGGGATCTGAGAATCTGAAATTGTCTGAACTTGTCAGCATAAGGAACTCTGTGCTTGCAGTGAAATAAAAATGTTCACAGCTACTACGAACAGTAGGAGATGGAAGTTACTTAATTTTTTCTGAACTTCAGAAAGTGTTTTAAGACACTCATCTAAGTGCTGTACTCTGGTAAGGTGGCATAGTGGTAACATCTACTATCCTAATCTAATACTAAGTTCCTAAGTAAACACATTCCTATCCCTTACCAGATATAAAAAAGGTATCAGGAAATGCCATACTCAAAAATGGAGAGGCAATTCAGCCTTCAACAGAGTCAGCCTGCATTTCTCTCTGGTGGAAATCAAGGATTTAAAGAAATTACCCTTAACCTTTTGGATTCCAGACAGAACTGCACTTAAGATGGACTTGCTTTTGTTTTAAATCCCTTCTCTGACAAATGCCCCTCTAATTACAGAATGCAAAATCTGATACTTACAGGTCCAAAAGCTACAATATGCTTTACATCCTGAAACAATCCTCTGTGCTAGCTATCAACTCTGTCATGGAGATGGTTGCTAAAACTCTTGACACTTTCCTCACTGTGAAACACAGTATTTTAAATAAAATAGCTCAGTTTAAGGCTTGCTAACAGATGCAAACGAATGAGAAGCAGAGCCTGACCTCCCTAGTGTGCTTTTTTCTTCCTGTGCCTCACACCACAAGCTTTAGTGAAATGCTTCCATGTCCCACAAAGCCTCCCTTGTAGAGATGAAGAGGGAATGCTCTCGTTTCCATGCCCCCCGGGGGGCTCCCCGAACCCCCCCCCCCCGTGTTGCCCTGTGCCGCTGGTGCCCTGGGAGCAGCCCGACTAAGCAGAACATCGGATTCGTTCCAGGCACTTCTGGCTGCCAGCACATTGTAGAACTAACTTGCCAGGAATGTTCCCCTTGGCAGGCAGCCTCCTCCTGGCACCAGTGCCAAACGATATCAACCATAATTGTTGCTATTTATGATATTTCTTGTTGCTTTTATGAATCACTGCTAAGAAAGCTAGGTTATTCCAAATCTTTGAACAACTTGTACAGCGAGAAGCCTGATAATAGGTAGGGGACAGTATGAATTATTTTGAATTGATTCTACAGTTTTTTGAGCTGAGAGATAAAAGCATATTCTGCTTGAAGTGGGAGCTTCAAATCAAAAAACTGCTGAGTCTTAAGACTCCAACTTTGGCACTGTCTTGCTGTGTGCCCTGGAGTTTCTTGAAAGTCTCTCTTAGTTTTCTTTTACTTAGACTATTTGCTATTTTCTTTTAATTTTCTTTTTTTTTCAGCTGATTTGAAACTAATGTAAGCAAGCAGGCCCACATGCAAATAAATATTCCAGTATTGAGAATAATATCATCTGTATGTAATGGCTCTGACCGTGTGTAAGACTCTGAGCTTCTTTATGTGTGGATGAAATATATAGATAAAAATCGTAATTCTAGTTTTGACCGCTAACACACAATTAAAAATACAACAACAACTCTGTCGTATTTTTCTTTTCCCAAATAAGCAAAATGCAACTCTATATGAAATTTCTGAGGTGAATGCTGCTGTAAGTGCCCAACAGATCTAATCCAGGTTTGCGCTTCCAGAAACCCTGGGCATGCTCATTGTCAGAGGCATTCTGGAAAATGTTGAGTAAAACAGCTATGCATGCACAGTAGTTCTGGCATGTCCTAAAAGCAGGTGACTTTACTGTGCAAGTACAGTGTCATATGAGTGCAGGCAGCTTTTATCAGGAAATCTCAAGCAGAAATATATTTGTCCTTTTCTGTGTGTCACTCCTAAACCAGACCAAAAAATTCATTTTCCGTGAAAGAGAGAACATTGTATGCAAGGTGCTCCTGGGCCAGGGCAGGGAGTTTGGAGGCCTACTGTAACAACATAGGAAAATATGTCTACCCTCTGATGCTGTAGAATAACCTTCTGTAGCACACATTGGCTAGTAGGGACTTCTGTGGTAGTACTTGAAGGATGCTTTAAAATCTAAACAAAAAGGTTTGTAAGTGTTTTTCTCTACTTCTTGTGACTGACTGTGGAATAAAATACTGTAGACCTCTTCTTCTATTTCCAGTGTGTTTAATACCTCTGTAATGATGCTATATGAATAATATTGCTCTTTTAAACTTCTGTATGATTGCTGAGTGCCAATAATACTCATGTCAGAGTTTGAGTTTTGGACTGCTTTTAGCTACTACCATGCATATAATCCTAAATGCAGCACTACATATTTCATTTTGCAAATGAGAAGGACCTATCAGACATCCCTGTTTATGATGGCAAACTTATGAAATACCCTATTCAAGCAAAGTATAATGCTGTTTTAAAGCTCA